AATGATTTACATAAAGATGTAAAAAGAAAAATGCTGAAGCATTATTAAATGCAGTCAATCTATAAAAATATGAAACTTAGACACTAACCTCTATAATCTAATTAATATCTGAAATATCAGAAAGATATGAGGAAATGAAATAGATTAGATTTGAATTAGAGCTATTTAGAACTGAATGTGATGCAGTTATAACTTTTTAGATGAAATAATTACAAAATAAATAGAGCATTGTAATGTGACCTTAAAGCTCCCTCCAGATTTGCCACTTCATAAAGCTTTACTGAGAAAAAAAAAATAGGAAGAGCCAGAAAAAAATGGTTACATCTAAAAGCGTTCTAATATTGAGGAAAATATACAAAACTAAACAGAATGGCACAAATTACATCTCATTACCAATCCATGAGGATAAATCTCTAGTTTTAGAGACTGATACAATCATGATGAATAGATAAAACAAAAAATAATAATGATGTCCTACTACTTTAATGTTGCAGTACAAAATTAAAAGATTTAAAGTGATTGTTGTTTGGAACATCAATGGCTTGTGATAAACACTACAGAACTGCAGCATTATCAAAGAAAAATAAAATTATAAAATAATGTCTCAATTTTTATAGTATTATACAGTATAATAATTATATAAATTATTTTAATGGTAAAAGTTACTTTTTTTTATACTGTTTTGATCAGAATGGTAAAACCAGTATTAATCAAAATAATATATGAAATAAAAATGATTCTATTAAGGCAGTTGCATGTCACACACCCTACTACAACAGCTATTTTTTTCTGACTGCTAAACAGTGAAATGTTGTATCTCACTCAGTGTTCTAGTTTGCTTGTTCAGCTGCTGTATCTTGTGATATGAAATGTTTGAAATGGCACTGAACTGTTTAACAGTGCTGATGCAAACAATGTGGCTACATGGAAAGAATTAGTTACTGAATCAGAGCATAAGTGCAAAGTACTCCAAGACCTGTAAAGATTATTATGAAAAAGACAAAAATTTTGAATCTTGAATTAATTTATTTTAATTAAATTTACAAGTATTTTATGAATGTAATATATATGCCAGACGTGGAGAAGGTGCTGAGTTACAGCTACTAACTTATAGTGAAATTAGGCATTCTAAGATAATTTTACAAGATAAAATAGAAATGTTATTCAAATTTGCATAAACAGATCATAAATTACACACAATTTGTGCAATTTATTGAAAATTTTGTAGATTAATTAACAGATATTAATACACAGCATATTTTATATAAATGGAATTCATTGAAACATGATAATAAGAGACAACAATCATCTTGCTTAGCTAATGAAATGTCAATAATATATAAATTATGATAATTCATTCACCAATTTTTGACTCAGGAAAAATTTTTATGGAAATAATACTTGAAACTATGCACATTAAACAATAAAGTATAAATTTTATTAAATATTTTATATGGTTAAACAAACTAAGTTATATTTGACTAACCATGTATATGTTTCACAAAACTTTAACACAAGATACATTTCAAGTTTAATAAAATACTGTATTACTTTTCCTAATGTATTTTCTAAACTTTTATGCAATAGTTTTTTAAAAATTAGTTTATAACAGTAATTGTCTTGTGATTATAAATTAAAATAAAAGCAAATACGTCGTAAGATCAACTGATTAAATTGAATATTTATATATAATATTTATATTGAATATTTATGTGTTATAAATATTATATATTTATAACACATCAGTTACTTGATTTTATATGTATAAAATCAAGTAACTGATGTGAAATATCACACAAGATTATTTACAAACTTAATTAGTGGTGCTCAAAAGCTAAGGAACAAATGCAAAAATTGGTATACCTATTTATAAAAGTAAAACAAACGTAAGAAAGTAAATATTTTATCTACTTTCTTAAGCTTGGTATACCAATACTTGTTGTAATAATAATTTACACACCAATTTAAAATGTATACATGAAATTTGCATAAAGTAATCTTATATGAAAACCAGATCAACATAAAAGCATTCACAAGTATGCATGCTTCATTTTGTACTGTTATACAAAATGTAAACATAATGAAGTTTTAAAAAAAATGATCTGAAAATATTATCCAACTGAAGAAATGAAATGAATAATAAGATCAAGGCTGGTAAAATCATACTAGCCTTGATTGTAAAAATTGGGGATAACCAAGAGTGTGACTATGCAGACGCAAGTGAGCGAGTTTTCTGAGTGAGCGAGAAGAGGTGATGATATTTCATATTCTCTGTTTCTCGCTCTCATTTATTACAACCGATGAGAGTGAGAATCATCATCACCTCTTCTCGCCACATTCTCTCTCACTTGGAAATTTCACTCACTTGCATCTGCATTGTTGCATCCTTAATTAAGCTACCCATGAAACCATTTTCAAACAAGCAATACACATCTAAAAGACTTATTTCTGGATATTTGACAGTCATATCAATAAGTAAGACTACTAAATGCCCTTAAATCAGAGGGTCACCAAACTTTTTTCACAGTGGGCCAGATAACTGACAGAATAACGAGTGTGAGCCATATAACTGTTTGTTCAATACAGCACATTGAATACACAAAAAATAAAGACAACTAACATATTTATTTGCCAATACAAAAACATGATGGCTACAGTAAGGTAATCACTTTTCTTAGAAACTTCATTGCAGGTACGGTACTTATACAAAAAGTGCTCTGATATACAAAGTTGCAAAAAGTTGCCAAATTTTTTATTTCACTGATTTATCTAAATATTATATTACTGTCAGATGCAAAAATCAGATTGGACCAATTTTTGCATTTTTACTTATACTTATTATAATTTTTTTACATAGTAAGTTTATCTACAATCTATGATATTTCCATATAAATAATTACATTTTAGCACAGTGCAGCAATGGGCTGGTTGAACTGACCTTGCGGATAGTAGTTTGGTGACCCATGCCTTAAACCAGTGTTTCTCAACAGGGCGTTTTTCCATGTTGAGGGGGTGATTAGTAACAATTTATATTTTGGGGGCGAAAAACAATTTTCTGGGCGATATAGAAAAACATTATATTAAGAATATTAGATATTTTATTCGTTATATCGTACAATAATTAAACAAATAACATTATACTAGTCACTAGTCTATTCAATGTAGTACAAATTTGGTGTTAACCTTGGCTAACGCCAAATTTGTACTGCATTGAATAGACTAGTCGGCATCGGAATTTTGAAGTGAAGGGGGCAATACTACGAATGGTTTTATTGAAGGGGCGATACTACGTAACGGTTTCATTGACGGGGGTGATANCATTATATTAAGAATAATTAGATATTTTATTCGTTATATCGTACAATAATTAAACAAATAACATTATACTAGTCACAAGTCTATTCAATGCAGTACGAATTTGGCGTTAGTCTTGGTCCTCGGCATCGGAATTTTGAAGTGAAGGGGGCGATAATAGGTAACAGTTTTATTGAAGGGGGCAACAATTCGTTAGAGGTTGAGAAACACTGCCTTAAATGAAAGATCTCACTGCATCCAAGGAAAGAGCTGTTTACTGGCAAATCATGTCTAGGTGGCTTCACAACAATAAACTTTATATAAGATAATCAGTTATGTCCCATATGGTTTCCTCCCAGAGAAAGACATTGCAACTGGATTCAATGATGGCCACTGTGCTTTTCATAGATAAATAATTTAGTTTTTAAACTGATTCTCAAATTAATATTGGTACAGAGAGAGCTAGAATTTATTATAGCATATAATAAATTTTATATTATGCAAAATATTTAAAATTTTTGAGTTGATGGCACAGTGGTGTATAGACTTGCACCATAACTGACAACAAATATATTTTCATTTCTTTTTAGTAGTAGTTTAACGAATATCAGATAATACAACGAAATCACAGAAACACACATTTGTGCATTTCTTGCAGCGAGTTCCCGACGACACATTAACCGACATCTAATCCAAAACATGCCAAGACACTATACATATCATCCGAAATAATCATAACATCCTATCGAAGGAACCAAACTTTATACATTACCTTTGATTATTAATTGCATATTAGCACATGTCATTAAATGTTCAACATAATTTTTCTTTCACACATACTTGCAATACTTTTATCAAAAATTTCATTAAAATACATTAGGAAAGTTTTGTATTTATATTTTTACATTTGTTATTTAATTTTTGAGCATTAATATACAGAATTTCAATGCAAATATAGAAAACTATAAACAACTATAAATATATTAGTCATAAAAAAATTAATACATTACAAACGACAAAAAATATTGAAAAATTACAAAAGAACAACTCAGTAAATATCACGTCATTAAAGAATGAAGTATCATGCGACGTTTAAAACAAAGTTAACTATAATTTGCAATTATCTCTACAAAATTAAAATAATGCATCATGTATTAATCAAACAAAGGAAATATAGAGTTAATGCACTAGAATGCAAAGCTGGTCAAACAAATAGAATGTTTTCATTTAGAATACAACAAATAGCTTAATCATTAAAAAGATTATCAAGTTTTTTGAAATCAATTTTTTATATAGTAAATTTCAATAAAATTTATTAACAATATATTTATAAATTTAATATATTCAACTAAGCCTAATTGAACTAATTACAATACTGTTACACAACAATATTGAGTTACCTAAATTATGAAATTATTATTGATTTAGGAGCACGAATCTTAAATAAGTATTGTAAATACGAATAATTTCATAAATTGAAAGAATTCTTCGACAAGGAAAATACTAAAAAATGCAAAGAGAAAATCATATAAAGTGTAAATATGTTGCAAATTTTAAGTGTAGCATATGATAGTGTTATTCAATTGGAGCGTAATTCGACTGAATCTTTTAGGTTAGAATTGAGAAATGAAATTCCTTTCCTAAAATACTAGAGAATGCAAGAAATATTTTTGATAATCTTACTGTAGAGGGCATTATATTCTTACCCAAGAGTGTATCTCTGTAATCGTCTGAGGTAAAATGTGCAGAGCAAACACGAGTATATTCGGTTATTGTAAAATAAGGTCCGGGATCTCTTCTTATAGCTTCAATCCATTTTCCCAGTAGAGACGGTTCCTTTGGAAATTTGTGAAACGAGTAGGGACGTCCGCGATTCGTACATCCTGGGACGCAACAAAATCCCGGCATATCTCCTGCGCCATTTGCAATCGACAGACAAACTATTTGGTCACCTAGGAGATTATGTCGTGACATCTGGTGGACGAAAATTCGTGCAGAAAATACTTTAATAGGAAATATTGTAATGAATTCTCGGATTTTTCGTGTCAAAATAGCAAAATACGTTTGCTTTCGTGTTAAATATAAAGTAAAAGAATATAGTTGTAATACTTGATATATGTTTATTTATTTCGTAAAGTGTACTGTACATTATTAAAATCTTTTCACTTTTATTGAAGTTTTGTTTACTAATTAATATTAATATCCGCATAGTTTTATAGATATAGTTTGCTGCAAACACAGATTAACCCACAGTTTAACATCCGGATGGGACATGGCTGTAGTAAAATTACGTGTAAAATTGGCTGCGCTCAAGGACTATATACTACAGTGTATGTAGTGTATAGTCCTTGAGCTGTGCTAAGCGCGCGCGGTATTGTGGATAATTCCTAGCGCAAAATGCGGTAAACTAGCGGGCGTATTCTAAATCTCAGTGCGCAGCCAGAACCTCTCAGCATCTCTGTTCAAAATCTCAGATAACTTCCGGTCGCTGTCATCGTGCTTCTGGCAAACTGCAAGCGTTTTTTTCGGTGCTCGATACGCCAGAAAACATGATGGCAGCCACCACGACACTCGTAAAAGCTCTATTTTGCGTTGACTATTTTGAATTTATTTGTTGATGAATAAACCCCGAATAAATTAAAATTCGGTTAGTACATTAATAGAATATTTTACTGTACTAGTATATTTACGTGAGACATCATATAATTTGTTTTAGTTGTTAAAGTGTAATCTTAAGATTGATTTATTTAAAACTCCTACGAAAATTTAGAAAATTATCCCTATTTCTCTTTTCGAAATATTCATTTTTCATTAAGCTATTCTCATTAAATAAGTTCAAAAATAAACTTAACGTAACGTGGAAGTTCATATCATTCGCCACTTTTCTTGTTTTTTTTTTTCCTCCCGAAATTCCCAGCAGTCAGCGTTTGTGTTCAATAGAAAACGCCAACAGTTGAGTCAAATACGACAGCATCTCACTGGATTGATGCTGAGATTTTGAATATGCCTAATGTTATTTCATGACCTGCATGCAGTTTTGAAATTTTAAAAGCAAATTAAAAGAAATTAAGCAAAAACGGAAAATGAAAATTATAACGCACACAAAAGAAGTATTTTCAATGGTTGTCAGATATAAACTGATAACCATTGAATCCGAGGAAAGAATCCTGATTTGTCATTTCACATCTTTCAATACCTTGAAAGAAATTCATTTCAGAACTGTAACTTTTCAAAAAATAAAGGTAAAGTGTGCTGTCTAAATTTTTAGTCATAGTGTTTATGTTGCTGTTATGACCTATGTCAGGGGTCGGCAGTTTGTCAAGTGAGAAGAGGCAAATTGTCATGAAAACAGGATAACAAAAGTACCAGAGCGCCGCATATTACTTTAAATGTGCGAAATACGACAGAGGCGCCTCTAGTGGCCGTTTTCGGCATAACGTTACACGGATGGACGGACACGCGTTCAATGGGTTATATATATAGATATGCTTCAAATGCTACCACTCTTATGCGACTCATATTGATCAACGCGAGTGTGGTCATGTGCGGACAGAGAACAAGTCGAAGTTTGTTCGGCGGCTCTATCTCATAAACTCATAAGTTATAAGGTTGCGGTGAAATGAGGTGAGATGAAATTGGAGTTTATTCCGAAGAGCCGCAAACGTCTATGCAAAGAGCCGCTAATTCTGACTCTAGGGCCGTGTTCAGTAACGCAGAATTCTTGCTAAGTCTAGTTATGCTGCTTGAACTCGTTTCTAACTACTGCTTGGCTCCTCCCACCACTAGCTTCTTTTATGTATTCTTAGCTCCGCCCACTAAGCCACTCAGAATTCTAACTTAGGTGTTCTGCGTTACTGAACGCGGCCCTGACCTATGTCGTGGCAGAATCGTGGCTCATCGAGATTGGTCAAAATCTGGTCCAATGGGCAACGTTTTACGATCGGGTAGATTTGAATGGGCGGCGGACCTAGCAGAAAGCTACGAATCAGCGGGGGAAGCTGATTGGTCGACCGCGACCCACCAAAGCACATATATAGAACCGTTTAGGCAGGAAAGTTTGAGTTTGCTATGGTCTCGCTAAGAAGAAGTCGTTCCCCTTGTTGAAGAAAAGGAATTATAGTCTGATTAGAAGACATCTTCTGACCAACAAGTATCTTTGTTTGGTCATCGACAAGTGGTGATTTCTGGAAGTGCTATCTCATCGTAAGGTGACTTTCTTGAACGGACTTATACGGGATAAGAATATTTGTCAAACATCGGCGCTCTGGTTACAGATGCCATTTATAGAACATTAATTAAAAATGTAATGTTCAATTTGACTGGCGCAGTCGACAAGGATAATTTGGGTCTCACCTGAGAAGGAAGACTCCGGAAGCTGAAAGGACACTCTGCAGGAAAGCTGATCTACGACGCAAGACAATCCAGAAGTCGGAAATACGACGGGACAGCGGACAACAAACTTCGAATATCGGCGACGATAAAGACCCAGGTAATCCGTTTCACCTTTGCACAGAGATGCCAAAAGTGGAAAACACGGGTAGTGAAGGAAAGGGAGTTGGACGGGAATGAGCCCGGAAGATTTGGTGAGAGCGGCCAAGATAGGCAGGAGAACGAATCGCGAAAGGAATTCAAAAGATTTAGGCTACAAATCGAACATGCTAGGGCCGAACCGGAAAAGTTGGAGTCCAACGTTGGAACTCGAGTTACAATGGGATAGAGAACGTACGGAGGCGCGTAGCCCCGAGTGCAATACCGTTAAGGAAAATTTTGACGATTATGCACGGTTAGGCAAGTTAGAGTTAGGCAAGCACTTTCTAAAATGCCCGAAGAAGAGAAGGCAGTGCCGTCTTGGTTTCACCTGGTTGAGGTAGTTCTGGGGACCTTAAGTTCCAGAAGGGATGCAAGGACTTGGGAAGCAGATCGAACTCGAAAAGATGAAACAGCAAAGGCTGCGGGCCAAGATCTCGAAGAAAGGGAAAAGGCCAGTTTCGAGTTGAGAAAAGCGAACCCGTAGAAAGGAGGATGCACACATGCAGCGAGGCAAAGAGGCAGAATGACATCACTTTTTCTTGCCGCTTTTCTCGTGCAGGAAAAGTTGGTTGAATTCTATCTTTTGCCGCGACCGCCTCCACGACCCGTTTCTATCAGCCAATAACAGTTCGTCTGGTAGTCACGTGAGAAAATACAATCACGTGATATTTTAATGGCGAAAAGTTCAACGTGATAAACGAGATAAATTTATTATCCTTTCCTCTTTATTCTGACTTTAGTTAACACAAATTCTACACAAAGAATCATATATAATTTAATTCAAAGAACAAAACAACCGAATCTTACTCGAAATAGTATTTTTTATCGAGAGACCTTATTCGAGGAATAAGCGTATTTTGTACACCAGTTGTTCTTTCTCTATCCAAGAAAATCTCTCTAATCCAAAATCTTCGTTCGAATCTTCGACAAAACTTTCTAGCTAATTAAAGCAAGCCGTACAAAACAAAATTTGTAAACACGTAGATATCGACAGTGTCGGTATCGTTCGCCATCTTGAATACTGAACGCATGCGCCGAAATATAAGCGGATTGCCGCTCGTGTTGCCGCGCGGCGAAGAAGCGTTTGTGACACCGCTTTTCCTTGCAGCGCCGCATGTGTGCATCCTCCTTTACAGCTTTCCTGCTCTAAAGGAGGAGTCTAAACAGCTCATTAAGACGCGGAAATCGGTGGACCGAGTTGTCAGGAAATATTAATCAGTAATCAATAAATTCAAACTGGAAGACTTTTGTCTATATAAAACTTAGTAAAATACTGTAAAATAAATGCTATAGTTATAATTACCAAACAACATCTTTTACAATTTTATTGAATGATTTATACATGTAAATATTAAATTTTAGTTTAGATCTGCGTATGATATATTGATTGAACTGAAATTATTACAAATCTTATAGAAAACTCTAGAACTTCTTTGTTTGGCTTGGGTGTCCACTCAGTCGTGTTCTAATTTGAAACCAGTTCTTAATCTGCTTTCAAGTTCATTCTAGAACAGTTCCTCTATCTGGTAGGACGTGCTCAGCTTTTGGTGTCTTTTTTTATATGGTCCCATTCCATTAAGTTACTTGATAGGTCTCTATTTTAATATAGGAAATTACAAATAAATAACAATCTTATTACGAAATAATAATACTTAAACTAAACTTTAACCTAATATGTATTCCGACATTGAAAGGGTACATAATGCTAGCATTCAGTCAGCACTTGAAGATGCATTGAGGGAACGATTAACTCCCAATCCCGAGGTAAATCGGGAAGTTTACATAACCTTACGAAATTATAGCTTTCCAAAAATGAATGGACCAGTATATATACATTGTCATCTATATTACCTATGCCGATTTTTCGAATTATTTTTGCCGCGAAATTTTTCATGACGATTTTTTCATTAGATAATTAATTACGCTATTGTTTTTTATGGGAGTTTTATTTATCAAATTAATTAAATCGTTCTAAACTTTTATTTGACCGATTTAAGGTCGGTAAAATTTTTAAAATGCTATTGGATGTTTTCTATGACATCAGCAGTTTTTTTTTCGTCTTTTATTCGGTAGTAAACAAACAATGTAGACTGCACGTGTGAAATTTCGCGACTTGTAAAATGATAAATATAGCTGCAGGGAGTGTTTTACTATATTAAAAAAAAGCATTCTTTCGGTTATTTTTAACTTTTTATATAGTTTTTTTAAAAATAACTTTTTAATTAATAAAATAAAATTAAATTATTTGCGGGTATTAAAGCATGGAATTAGTCACGAATGCTTGCGTTTTGAGGGGTTAAAGGAGATATGCCAAAAAAGAATGATTATTCATGTAGGCAATTTTTAACATCATCTATAACAATCTCTTAATTTTGACACTAAATTAAAAAAAAAAAAGGCACTATATAGTCTGGAAAGATTAGAACAGCCGTGTAAGAGTCTATATAACAAATATATGTTCAAAAATGAATAGTAAGAAATTTAGAAGCAGAAATAGGAAATATTAAAACAGGTAACAAGAAAGAAATTCGTCTGTACTCAGATGTTGTGAAACTGAGAAAGCCCGAGCATAGCTCAAATACCCTGTTAATCAATCCGAAAGAAGAGAAAGGTGGAAATTCAATGCCAGAGGACCTAGAGTCGAATACTAATCTAACCGATTTGGGGGTAAGCACCAAGACTACCAGGAAAATCAGAAACGGATTTGCCATTCACTGTAACTCAAGTAGGAACTAAGAAATTACAGCAAAAGTTATATAGTCAAAATTGTAAAAATAGTGCAGATCAGCAAAAGATCAATCGATAAACAATAGTTATTTTAGAGTAGGTAGACCAATTTGTTTTGTTTTCATTGAGAACTGTATTATTATTTTGTTTTGTTTTTTTTGTATTTATTTTTTACACATTTCGTATCAGTGCAGAAAGGAACTACAAACAACGGTTAAGAACCATTCTTTTTAGCCAATGTAAAATTGAGAATGGTTTAACTTCAATGAGTTATATATTGTAATTTATGTAAACACCATCAAGTGATAAAAAATTATTTTTATTTGTAGAAAGTGCGCAAAATGGAAGAAGCGTCTGTTCATCAAACGGAAATATGTCAAATAAATCAACATGGCGCTGCCTTAGTAATACTATTGCTAGAAGTAATGTATTATATATTTCAATGATGAGGAGTTAGATCTATGCAGAAAGGTCTGCAGGTGATGGAGAGATGTCGTCGAAGGAATTATGTATAAGAAAGTGACGATGATCAAAAGAGTAAGTATTTTCCCATAAATGTTTCGATCAAATTACTGGGTGAAAGACAGGATAGTGGCAATTTTTCTCTTGTTTAACTTGTTCATCCTAAACTCACAACATAACATTCCTATACAGCATTTGTAAGTTACAAATATCAACACAAATTGTAGGTTAATTTACTGAATTAAAGTAGAGCAAAACTTTTAAACTAGAATATTGTGATTGAAACACTTTTATTCGTTCTTATTATAACGATATTTATATTTCTTTTAAATATCATCTTCATAAATGCATACTGACTAATAACATATAGTAATGTACTATAATTGATTGTTTGAAAAACAACACAAGAGTTACAAAAAACTGATGTAGAAGACAGTGGCGTAGCGTAGTGGGGGCGGCACTTTTTAGGGGCGGAAAAAATTCACAATAAGTAATATCTTGTAAAAATTTGAACCATTTTATTTCATATTTCCGTCGCACCTACGAATCGGACCGATTAAAATGAGCACGGAATAGTGTTACCACCAGGACAGTCCGGGAATCGACTCACTGTCCGGGTGGACTATTAATTTTTCCCGGCAATATCGTGCGCAACCTGCTGTCGACCTTTTTTTTTCTTCATTTTACTTGTATGATTCGTATGAGCTATGTCATCTAGGTTAGTTACGTTACTCCTACCCTAGTCCCTAACTGTAGCTGATTTCGAATCGGCATGCACTGCACATTATTCTTCGCATTGCAAAATGACATTACGCATGCATCAGGAACTTCTGTTCGAACAAACCTCACCTGCCCTCCGAGTCAGCGATTTTAAAAAGGTGGCAACACTAGCACGGAATTTTTTATTACTTATTCTCTGACGAAACTGAATTTTAGTCTTTTAAATTGAGATACCTAAGGGGACGGCGAAATTTTCCTTTGCCCCGGGCGGCTGACACCCAGCTACGCCACTGGTAGAAGAAGAGTAACACTACTATGTATCTTAAGTGCAATGACATTTGACAAGAAGATGCAAGATTAGACATCTGTTTTATAAAATTAATCTCTTGAGAATTTATGGGCACGTAACCATAAAATTTCACACAAGAATTGAACAAAACTTTTCATTAATTAATACAGATTCAGTTTCGAATTATACTCTATACTTTAACAATATCGAATAAAAATAATTTTACAATTTTCGAATTTATTCTCATAAGTGACGAAAAAATTTTAAGCTGTTTGCATATTTAATTAACTCTAAGATAAGATTTATTTCGCATTTATTGTCATAATCTCTTCGTTCTCTTATTGGTTTTCCGTTTATTGTTGTTATTGTTATTTTTTAAACAGGAAATTCCTATTAGCTTAATAAGCTACATATCATTCGAACCGGAGATACTTCGTCCGTACACTGGATTCGACGATTGCTTTCAGACAATTGGTTCTTTTTGGCGGATGAACCTGTATATCCGTCGGAATGTACGAACTGCCACTATGAAAAGCGAACACTTTTTTATGCTGCCCACGGAATTCAACGATTCAGAATCAGATGGTAAGTACTTATGAAATTCTGAGTATATTTAGAAGTGATTTAATAAACTTTTCCACGTGTTTGATTACAGATAACATCCAGGTCTTCGTCATGTGTATGCAAATTTTTTCTCTATTTTCCAAACTGCCGTCGACAGAAGGAACTACGGAAATGCGATTGATAATCTTACGAAATATTCCAGGCTTCACTGTACTAAATTATCCGCTCGAACTAAAAGGGTATACTCTGGATTTTTGTAACGCATCCGACAGAAAGAAAGTCTTGCAGGATCTGTGCGACAAACTAAATATAGGAATAGAAGAAACAAAATGTGTCATCGCATGTACATACAGATGTAGCAGCATATTCTTCTGAGAAGGAAACCAATTCAATCACTACTAAGAAAATATGTCCATATTTTGAAAGATTGACTATCTTTTATGGTGGAAAAAGTAAATGCAATATCAGTTTACATCAAGTTCGGAAGATCTGAGTATAAGACTTTCAGAGAAAAATTCGACAATGTTTCATCTTGGGTTTGACAGATTTCACGGAGAAAATGTTTTGTGTATATTTTCAGTAACGTGTGCGAAAACTGTTTCGATTCATTAATTCGAGCTTTTAGAGATGCTTTTCCTCTTGGTAACTATTTCACTTCGAGCAGTTTTCCTTATTTCTTATCGATCAAGCCACCTGAAAATTATAATTTTCTTGGCAACAGCGAAGAATATCCTGATGCCTCATCTATGGCTTTATTAGTTTTCATCTGGTGGGAATAAGTACAATGTATGAAAATTAACAAGTGATTATTTTTCATTTGGATGTATATTATACATTTTCTTAGATCACTCACATTGACACTCTAATTTGTAATGATAATATTAGAAGTATTCAGCTAAATGTCTGAATTACCAAAGATTTGAGTTGTCTAAATGCAAGCAAAGAGAATTTAAACCTTGATGATAAGGTGGTGACCTACTTCATACAATACAGAGATAAAGGACCAGATAGCCGACTTCTAAAGAATGTATGGTTATCAGTCTTAGTGCTCTGATCATTGACAGGTGAAAACAAGCTATTCTATTAACGGCGTTCACTATCTTCAAAATTAGGATTCTATTAAGTTTTAAACATTAAAATGAGTCTTTAAATTCAATAGTATTAATAGATAAAATGACGCATTTTAAAATCTGATAATTACTCGTAGTTTTGTAAATAATTCACAATTTTGTTATTTTTTAATACAATGTAATTTTTGATTTCGTAATACTCAATAATAAAAATAAGTAAAACAATGTCTTATATTCATTTTAAAATCATAGGAAAATAATCACTCATTTTATATTCACACATCAGTTTCTGTTAATACATTAAGTACAGTACGTAATACACTAAACAGTAAATAATACGAACGATATTAACTTTGATAAAACTAAGCGTCTTTATCTGTTTCTATAATTAAATAAATTAAAAAAATGTCAATTATAATCCTATAAGTTAATTGTATCAAATGTTCAAATTCTTAATATATATTTTTATAATACCACATACATTTACCTCATAAAAATTATAAAATTTAACGATTTTCTATAATTTGGTAGCTGTCTATTTGTTCTTATGTATATGTCTCTCTAATCCAGAAAATTCTGGTACTGTCTTATAGCTTCAAGGTCAGGAACATTATTTATTGAAATATCTTAGATTACATATGCATTTCGGGTCTATTTTGATTCTAGGTCCTTCTTCAGTGCTATATTAGAATAAATTGAGAACATATTAGGAACAACAAAAAATACAATTCGCGCTGTTCTTATAACAAATAATTTTATCATATCCCAAATAAGGAGTGATATAAGGTATATTTACATAAATCTTTCCTTCCGTACATCTATATGGCATTTTTTGTGTTATACACTTGGTAAACATCCTTTAACAAATAAGTAATAAAAATTATATAAAAACAATAAAAAATATAAAAGAAGTTACCATTGTTACATCATCCATCAGAACATTTCAAGTGGGTGTATACCTTGTTCACATTAAAACACAAAAAACCATTATTCATAAAACGTTCCAACCTCCTTATTATACATATATTAGTGGAATAATTTTGATAATCCAATCGTTTCGAAATAAATCTTACTATACACCATACCTTACATTCTAACTTATTCACTACTATGGATTTTTTACTGTGGCGCCCTCTATTAGGTTGTACTGTACCATTAAGGACAATTTGCATACCGTTCGAAATGTTTATCAGATTTTTTTCCCGAATATTTCATGATTTCAATATGTTCTTTAAACCTACGTTTATAAGTATTTTTTTCCGAATGGAGAATTTATATGTTATTTCTGTTAATGAAATCGTACATAACAAAGCCAGAGGGAACAATTAGTTAGAAACAACATTCGTTTACCATTTACACATATAAAAAGATAAGACAAGACTGATGTGCAAAATTGTGCAACCAACCTTACTGTCTAGACCGTGCGGCTTCCACGTTTAAAAAATATGAAAGAGTGCTTCTATATACAAAAATTGTATATATAAGTGGAATAATAAAGGTTAATATCATTTGTTTTTGAGATACCAAAAAATCATTTTTAAAAATTTATACAGCCTAAATTAAACAGGGTTCCCATTACCCTTGATTGCAATTCATGTTGCACATTAAATAATGACAGAAGGAAGGTTAAAAAATACTATAGGCCTAACTACACATGATCTGAAAGGTAATTTATTTTTATTACAGATTATATTTAAAAGGTGCGTTAACGAATACTACAACTAATTGTTTAACGAAACAAAAAGTAATTGTTACCATTACTTTTTGTTTCGTTACCTTTTATTTCCTTTAATGCACCATTGGTCGAGATAATAGATGGTTTTTTTTTATTATTTTCACCTCTGTAAAATTAGTTTACATATCAAATGGAAGAAATAACAAGAAAATATTTCTAAAATATTTATAACGTATTATGAAAAATTCGCTCGATGACAGAGAACATACAGTACATTTTCATTGTTTCCAAGATTATCCCCAGTCAATTGAATTTTTTGTAATGTTAGCATGGCGAAACTGTCACCGAATAAAGTTTGATAACAAAAATCAGATGTTAGTGTAGCAGCTCGGATATCCGAAAGAATATTACAAGAATCAAGAAGGTGTTTTCTCATATTCATTACTGTCATTCCACAAAAAGAAAACTCAGCGTCACACGAGCCATTAATTATTTTACCGTTTAAGTTTATCGAAATCCTATTTAATCTAAATTGTGCAGCAAATGACTTTATTTTGTAACTCAAATTAGATAATAATTATAGCGCTAGAGTCTACATTCCATTAAGAAAAGTTCCACAACCCCAACCCCTTTCAATCAAATAATAAATATCTTTTGACTTACTTAAACGAACTTTCATTGAAAATACATATAACCAGAGGACAGTCCAATATTATTTAATAATCCTTTAATTATAACAGGCCATGGCTTCAAAAAAGAATTACCATTTATCCGTGAAAGTCTTGTAAATATCAATTTTCGATACTGTAATCATTTTCCGGTACGTCAATGAGTTTCCTCCCAAACCGAAACAAATTTATCGATAAATTAATAGCGAGGGGAGGTCTTCCCAATTCCATTTTCAGCGCAGATCTTGAGACAGATCTATTAATACGGAACACCTGCTCAAAGTAGAACAACTGTATTGCCTCAAATCTGTCCACTAAGAGACCACCCCAAATCGGAAAAGCACAAAAAATACTTGGTCCAATCAAGGAATCAAATAATCCAAAATAATTATTTAATGAATAATGTTTAATTTTAATAAATAACTTGCTGAGATTGGAGATTTTACCTTTTGCGTCAAGTAAACCTTTATTTAAATGATAGGAAAATGTGCCCCATGAAGAAAAATAAATACCTAGATATTTAAAGTTTGGCACAATTTCGAGTTTACAATTTTCTAAACTGAAATTGTCTGTTTTCTTAAGTTTATCACCTCTACAAAAAATTATAAGCTTCGTCTTTTCCGAATTAATTGTCAATCGATTATCTTGACAATATCTCCAAGTAAGATCGAGTCTTTCCCTAGGCGCAAAAGCTGAATTAGCCAAAAGAAGGATATCATCAGCATAAAGAAGACAGTTAATTTCAACATGAGAAGATAGTGTTATCATAGAACTTTGATCTCTCAGAAGGTCAGGAAGATCACTCAAAAACAAAATAAAAAGTTAGGACTTAATGGTTCTCCTTGAGGTAACCCTATATTGGGACTCAACATAATTAGTACAAAATGAAAAAGTTTCTATATCTTGTATTAGAGAAAAGACTCTTAAGTAAATTAACAAAAAACGCAGAAAGACCTACACTCCTATGCTTATACCAGAGGTGTCCAACCTTTTTGTTTTTCTGGGCCACATTTGGAAGAAGTCAAGAAGTTTTGGGCCACAAGTATATATAATATATACTCGTGGCCCAATATACAAGTATATTTAAAAATTAACATGTCTAGATTATAATAATAAGTATTAAAACTTTATCAAGAAAAAAGGATATTTTAAAAAATTACTTCTACAGACACTTTCAATTTTTACTTAGAAATAGATAAAGTCATTTATTATAAAAGAGACTAAAGAAAATTTATTTGAAAAACACAAATATTTGTTTTATTTGGGTCTCTAATTAATAAAAAGCGATGAAACACCATTTTAAAGTGCATTTTTATTCCATTAATATAATTATAAATAATATGTAGCCGAAAAAAGTAGCCAAAGCGCCAAATGATATTTTTTACGTCAAGCAAAAAAATGTAGCCACATTTGGCCCAATGTAGCCAAATCTTGCAACGTTGGAAGGAATACTAAATAAAGCTGGAGTTATGAATCAAAGGATTATAGACCCAAGTGCGGGGAAAAAGAGGCAAAGGACAAAAGATAAAGAAGTGAAAAAGGTTGAAAAATTACGGGTCCATATTTGCTTAACAGAAGATCTATTTAACGTTTCTCACTACTACATCTTTTGTCCTTTCTCATCTTTCCCTCCTTTTCCCAAATTTGGGTCTATAATCCTTTGAGTCACAACTCCAGCTTTATTTAGTAATCCTTCCGCATTCACACATCTCCAAGTATTTGAAAATATTTTCTTTCCACTCAAAAATAAAATATGAATAAAGGTTTACGGCTATGTGAAACTTTTTTTTGAGTTTATGCCGTTGAAATAAATAAATAATAAAAAAATTAAAACATTTGTCGGTTTTGTTTACACGTTTATTGGGCCGCATTGGAACTTGCCTTGGGTCGCATGCGGCCCGCGGGCCGCGGGTTGGACACCCCTGGCTTATACCATAATAAATCATGCTCGACTGTATCAAAAGCTTTCTCGAGATCAATAAAAGCAGTATATAATTTCCCTCGTTTCCTCGAAAGTGATATTTGAATTAGACCAATCAAAATAAACAAACTGTATTCGACGCCTCTATTTTTAATAAATGCTCATTGGACAGGTATAACAATATTAAACTCATTTATCCAATCCCGGAAACGATTTGCCATAATAGTTGAAAAAACCTCTCTATATATGCTAATTATAGAATTAGTCCATAACTAGTTGACGTGTGCCTATTTTTCCTCTTGTAAATCATCCTTAAAGCAATTTGTTTGCAAGATAAAGGAAAAGAGCAACTAGATCAAAAGTAATTAAACATATCCAATATATAATATCAATTAAATTAAATTATCCACAACCGTGAGGCAGATAATAGTGAGGGCTTAAGGCTTAACAGATCAAATGATGGGCACAAACGCTCAGAGATCAAAGTGAAAAAAATGTAATAAACACAAAAGGTTACTACATAAGTATGAAAACGAAAACCCAAAATGCATTTCGGACTATTTCCTAACAGAAAACAGTCCCTCCTTGGTGTTAGTTAAAGGTAATGCCATAATAGAATTATACAGGGTAACGATCAACTTAAAACTAAGCTTAAAGTTATACAATATATAAGTTGAGGACACCACTGTAATGGTATGAGTAGTAAGCATCATCAGTAGGTATTATCTAAAATAGGTGGTATATTAAAAATTATACAAAGTAAGGTGAACTTAAAAACTATGCCTAAAACTATACAATATAAAGATGAAGATGCCAATATAAGATGCCTTACTTTGTATAATTTTTAATATAATCCGAAGTTAACAAAGTAGTCAATAATTCATCACAATAACTCTGCGCATCCAACAGAAAGGTCATTTTAACCGAAATATATAACGAATTGATCAGAGATAAATAATTATTCAATCTTTCTTGTTTCCATATATAACGAATCTTTGGAAGTTTCTGAGTCAGTACACTATCTGTCGTAAATCCAAACGATATTGAAATCGGAAAATGATCAGAATTAAAAATATCAAGAACTCTAAAATCTAATAATCTATCTAATAAATGCATATTTACTGTTGTTAAAGGCAAACAGTCGAATTGTAGATCGTAACAGTAAGTGGTAAAAAAACACGCCAATAACCAGCACTTATAAAACTTTATTTGTTAAATTATTTCGTATTGATGTGCTACTTTTTAATTCGTTTCCAACTCTTATGTACTGCACATATGTCATTTTAAAAAAAAAAAAAACATGCATGCGAATATAACATGATGTAATTACATAATAATCCGAGATTTAATCATAACATACAGATTAATATATTTGATTACTTAAATGAAGGTAAATGAAATCAGATAAAGAAAACATTTTTATTAAAAATTAGAATAATTTCTTTGCTTAGTTATACCTGATAGTTTCTTCTTCCTGATCTTATTTATCAAGCTAATATTGCATTACATTAAAATATCGAAATACTGTATATATTTCTTTACTCTGCCATTAATCGATATAAAATGTTTACAAAGAGAGAAATTTATCGATTGAAACATCTTTTAATAGTGCAGTTATAGAAGACAGTTGTATAAGATGCAGTCACACATTTCATCGGAATCATTGTGCCTATTTTGCATATTAAAACCTACATTTTTATATCTACAAAAAGTTGGAATGTCGGGAATATTTTCTTCCTCTTATTGCTTGGAAAGGCATTTTATTAATCGATTTTACGAATTATTTGTAACCATTCTCCATTGGCCATATATTATTTATGGAATACACGTAACAATTTTGGCTGTAACAACCGGTAAACCAATTCAATTTAAACTAAGAAAGATGATGGAAGACGTCTGGAAAGTAGGATTTCATATTTTCGAAGGTTTAATAATATCATTGTATATCAGATACACAATTATTATGTTCTTGTTCAATTTGAATCGCGGAAGACATTCCGTCCTGATCAAATTGCATCAATATTGGTATTCTCTCAAGAAATTCTATCCAGAAAGCATTTACGAGGATACTGCAAATCAGCTCAAGAAGTTCCAACAAATTTCAATAAAAGCATTGGGATATTTTCATATATTTTTTTTCATTTCCGAAATCTTATTTGTATTTTACGTACTATATTATTATAAGGATAATTCGGACTTCATTTTCTGTATTATTGAAGTGGCCATCAATTTTATCCCATTTTCTGTTGCTACTATGAATACCAGCAGTATTTTTTTTTATCACTTGATTATTTGCAAAATTTTATGTTTGAAATTTAAAGAAGTGTCCAAACAACTTCAGTTGCTGAAGCAGAATCCTTCTTTGATTTACAGATTTAAAGAATATCAAAAAGCTCACAACGATGTTTGTGAAATGGTGGAAACGGCCAATCAGTTTGCCAAATATATAATATTTGTTTATTATGTATTCATGATTCCCGAATGCTGCTTTGTATTACATCAAGCTATAATTTTAAAAGAAGGAAATTTTTATATTCTTATGGTGGGATGGTTTATCTATTGCATATTTGTTATTATATTTATTACTTTATCAGCAGGCAACGTACTTGATGCGGTAAGACTTTTCACATTTCAAACTGTTATTCATAAATAATCAAAACTCTATAAGTTTATTTTTTTCTTTTAGTATTTAATCGGTGACTCTTTTTTTAAAAATATTAATCATTAACTATTCTTTGTAGCCTATTAATGCCTCGATCTTAAAGAATATTATATTATCTTAATAATGCATAATTATAATGCATTATTAAGATCGAGGTATTAATTGGTTACAAATAATAGTTAATAATTAATGTAAAAAATACAAATACTGTCAGTAATCGATATGTTCAACTAGAATTTTATAATACGTACGGTATATAGGCTACTGAATGATTTAAAAATTTAATTATTTTATTTGAGTAGTCTGTACAGTACTTCGTTGTATTTTTAACATTTTAACTTACAGGTTTCTTGACTTTAACTGTAAATGGTTTTAAATAAAATAATATATGTAATAATTTATTGAATTGCAGGTCAGTGGAAAATATTAAAGACAATTACTATACCATTCTTAAACGTTCCTACGTATAAGAATTCTGGATAAATCCAAGAAATGCAGAAACACTGCAAAAGAACGCAATGATCATAAAGATATCGTTATTAGAGATTTTTATTTTTCACGTTTTTCACGTGAATTAAGAATATTTATTAATTAAGCTACACGACTTAGCCTGCATTGAGGTATAGGACGACAAGAGCAAAATCGAAAACAAAAGCCGAAAACTGTATAAGCGTTAGTTTAATGCTTATTTTAAGCTTGTTTATTTTTCTAACAGTTCTGCTTTTGTTCCTTTGTCTTGGCTCCTAATTCTTATAATTTTTTTCATGTTTCAGAAATGTTACATTCTTTAAACTCATGTTTTTAAAAGCAGATGAAAACTTTTCTCTATTTTACGCACTTGTTTTTACTTTACTTTATCTTTATTTACTCCCGATACCGCAAGAGCATAATCGGGTTAAATACAGAGACATGTCAAAGCACAAGTAAATACATACATAACAGCACTGCTGAAAGTTAAATATACATCAAGCTGACACTAGCGCCTATAATGACGTGATCTAAGCCGTGCATGTTCCACGTCCGTTCTTTCCGCCCTGTGAGCACTAAGAGGGTATTTTTAATCATGACCATCATGGGTTTCTCCGAGCTCACAATTAAAACCGATATATGCGATACAGATTACCCATGAAAAATTTCTGGGGTTGCTTGTCTGGGTTTGATCCCGAACAAATAACCACCACTCTGAGAACCCAGGAGTCCTAAGTGTGGTTGAAATAGAATAACTGCTTCAGCCACCTGGCCGCATTGCTATTCTTTTATTATTAAACTACAAAATTTATACAAAATTAGGCATGATCAGAACATTAAAATTATAAAATTAATCGTTCCTTAAATGTTTTCGCAAACCTATCAATCGTTTCTTTCAATAATTTTATATACTTTTTTTAATAACTCTTTCTGCCCCGTGGGCATTAAAAAGGCCTCTTTACTTTCTTTATCTGACGATAAGTACACAATTTTGCAATTTTAAACAAAATGTACAGTACTTACTTTGTGGCCAATAGGAATAAAGTAACTGCCTAGTGGAGCAATAAGTATTACAATAATTGTATTTAATAATTCGTAAATAATAGTTTTGTTACTTCTTGTTTTTAGTTGTAATGTTTTTGTGGTCTGAGATTTCATATTTGTGGGTGCGAAACTCATCAAGTAATTGATATAAGATAAATATTAATAATTTTGTGTTCTGACTAGGAACGATTAAATTTGAATAAACGTATACTATTTATTTTAAATTATTTTTACAGTTTATTTTTTCCGATTACACTTATCACTTTTCATCGTTGCAAAACGATAATTGTAACTGTTTCAAAATTCTGAGTTTTGTAAAAAACAACGTGATCTGATTGTATTTAGCCAATAATATGATAAGAAAAAAATGTTGTCTAATGACATTGTTCATATGAGATATATTTAACAAAAATAATAGATTTGGTGGACATAGTGCATATATTTGCATTATTTAACCATTAATCCAATTATTTAATCGAACTGGCTGTAAACATTATGAAACTGCTGTAAATATTTTTATAACTCCTTTGTGATTTTTCTTTAGAAATTTTGTAATTTTTTTTATCTTTGTTACTTCTTAGTTAAAATTAATCATTTTTGTTTTGTTTATAAAGTTTTTAGGGATTACTTTTGGAATGATTCTTCCTTTTTATTCGATACTAAATTTGCTTACAACAAAAGAAATTTTTCATATATTTATATATAATATTTTCTAAGAATTTAAAATTTGAAAATTTAAAAAATTTTGTTTAAATTTCTTTATCATCATGAATGTGGAGGGCTTGTCCTAAGCATAGGCCTAAGCCTAGGGTCAAAATATGGCCTTTTCAATATTTTGTTTATGGGAATAAAATTTTTAGTTACGTCACTGAATAAAAGACTGAGTGTAGGGTGTGGTTATTCTCAAAAAGCATATTTTCATCGCTCTAATGTAGACAAATCTAATAATATTGTATAATCACGAGAGAAAATTTATAGAAATATATAAAATATTCAGTATATCTTTTATATAAAAGCAATTATTTTTTTTAATATAATAAATATTCATTTTTATTATTACTTAATTCGAGATTAATCGAAACTTGAACAAAAAATTATGCTTATATACGGTTAAGGTTTGTTTTTAAATAGAACAAAATTTAGTGGTTTTACAAAAGGAAACATTACTTTTGCTTTAAAATCATCGTTATCTATCAATAATAAAATAAAATACATTTAATATATTTATATTTGAATCAATTTTAAATTCAATGAACTTAAAAAAAAAAATTAAATGCAAAAGTTGATTTTCAGCATCATTAACTTATATCGATTTTATAATAAAACGTACGACCATTTTTCAAAGTAACCATTGTATTGTTCTTTAATATTGATGTAGGTTATATACATTAACCACTTATTTTAGCTTTTATATGGAAATTCACACAGAAATAGCATTTTGAATTAAGTGTTCTAAATGTATTTATAATTATTTAGCTATATTAAAGTAAATTTTAACAAAACCTTTTGAATTTCGTACATATATACATTTTCATTTATTCTTAAATTAATCTTTATTCAATTTTTTCCCTTGTCAGTTTCACTCTAAAAATTCAAAAATATTTGTTTATTTAAAGGCTAAAAGTTTTAATTTAAAAATATTGATTACTAAAATTTTGATACATAAAGCAAAGAAGTATTATATTTTAGATGTAAATAAAAATAAATTTTAATATACTTTACTTAAATTTTGAATATTTTCTTAAATATATCAAAGAACAAACAAATGATTTCGTTAAAATAAATGTAAATAATTATCAAACATCCATAAAATTCACCGAATGGCAGTTTTTTAGTTTTTCAATATTAATCAAAATAAAAAAATGAAGGTAGTCGAAATACTGTAGTCACCGTTTTATTCACTTCTATGTTCGAGAATACATTCAATGATAACCTGGCCTTCCTTTTGTATTCAAAAATGTATTCACTTTAATAAAAATGAATAAAGAAGTGACTGTTTCGACTGTCTCTGCCCCTTCATTTTTTGATTTTAATTAATTTAATGAGTAAGTATCATTCCCTTAGCCAGAAATAAATCTTTGTGAACTATATTTATAAATGAGAAACAAGCTAAAAAAATTATATAGGTATATAAATAGGCCGAGTATTAGTAGAATTTCCTACATGAACACCTTAAACTTTATCATTGTAATTTTCTCGCTTTTCCATTCTTGATTTGAATGATTATTATCAATTTAATTTGTTAAAAGTAAGTCTACTTTATCAGATAAAGCAAGAGAAGAGGGTTGAACGTAGGATGCAAAAATTAAGATGTAAACACGACAGAAAGAATGAGGTTGTGACGAATGACTGGTATATTTCTCTTTTGCAGCTACGGTCCACGTGTATAAAAAGTAACAGTGGCGTAAGTTCACGTGACGAATGCGAAAACATATGTTATATATACTGCACACGGGCACTGCTGCATTAAGCTAGGGACTGTTATGTTTTTAGTGGGTTTTGCCACCTCATAGTCCCTGCACTAGTAATGATGTCCATTTAAAAATTTTTAAAATAATTTGCACTCATAGCCTACATAAATATCGACTTTTTATATTCGAAATAAAATTGTATTTCTTTAATTATTATTTTATTCATTAATATAATTTAATATTATATACCACAAATACGTTTTTAACTAAGAAATTTTTATTATTTTAAAATTAAATTTTAAATGCATTCTTGTATAATTTGTTTTCTTATTGATTACTAGATGGCGCTTGCTTATTTGTCATTGTGTAACTCATAATTGGAAAAATAATTACTGTATATTTAATTATTCTGAATATTTTTTTCAAAAATAATTTCAGGCAACAGAACCAAAAGAAACATTACATCAATTCACTTCAATAGAAAAAAATGCAAAAATAAAATTTCAGGTAGACTTAATAATTATTGTTTATAACAGTGGCAAATAATTATTTGTAATTAGGATTGTGATACATGGAAATTGCAAAAATGCAAAGTTTAACAGGAGATTTTATTCCTCTGAAACATGATATAAAAATAGAATGCTACTTAAGATATAATTAAAATGTAATTAGAATAAAATATTTAAAATATAATTATATTAATTAAGAATAAAATTAATTTTGTACATCAGGTTTTTCTTTGTTCGATGAAGCTTGATATCATTGAAATTGTCAAATACTTCTAATAAAGTAGAGGCCCTTAATGACAATTGATATTAACATAGATGCAATTTTCATATTAGTTTTTGGACTGCAATTTGAAGAAATTGTATACCTATAAATTCCCACTTTTGTCCGTCCGTCCGTCTGTCTTTCTTTAATCTCGAGAACGGTGTAGATAAATGAAATTCAAGACCAGTCATGGAAATTTAGGGACAGGAAGTTCCGTTTATATATGAACTTTCGATGCGAACTAGAATTCACGTTATTTCAATTCATTATATCGTAAGATTTCTAAATATAACTAACCTTTTATCGCTTCATTTTAAATTCATTACTTGTTTGTATCTTCGGTTCTGTCAGATTAATTTGCATATATTAAAATTAATAATATGATGTATAAGTACTCCGATTAGATAAGTAATTTTATTCAATTTAAAAAATAATTTCATCTTAGGAGAACTTTGCAATTTCCACGTTAAAATATTAAAGTTATACTTTAAAAATATCAATTTAATTTTTAAATTTATATTTAAAAAAAGTTAAAGATTTAAAAAAATGGTTTCTTTTAGTTTGTAAAAAAATTATTAATTAATTAAAAATGTTATGAAAATGTTTTGAATATTTATAAATTTTATGAAAAATATAATGTGGTTTAATTAATTTCCAGATTAGCATCTTCTTGGAGAGATTTAACTGTCCAAAAATAGGCTTGAGTTTCTTGAATTTTTTTGTTGTCACTAAAAGTTTACTGACAAATGTAAGTTATTTTTTTGTAAATAATAGTCTTTGTGATAAAATTTCTGAGATTTTTATTAACTTTTATTATTATTTTTTAAATTTAGATTGCAAGTATGATCCTTACTTATCTATTAATGATCTTACAATTTCGTCAAATGATGAAATAGTCAAAATAAGACATTTTCGTTGTTTTATGACGAAATGTTTATGTCCGATAATAAAATTACCGTATTAATCTTTTAAAAATATCCATTAATATTTTCAAGTAATATGAGAAAATTTTTTACTATAATGAATATTATTTTTATTGGAGAAAATCTGTATAGTAGAACTCCTATTTTTCTCAGGAACCAGTAGATTTCGGCCAACCTTAGAATAAGAGTTTTAGCAAAATAATAAAAATCAATTGCGACGAATGAAATGAATAATTACGCTTCTGTTACATCTCTAATATGATATAAAAATTTAATAATAACATGTTTAAATTCATATACTAGATGATGAAAATGAAAGGAGTGAAACAACAATAATGTTAATGACAAACAAAACACAATAGTTATTTTATAATGCAAGTTTATTATATTTTCATAAAAGTGTATATACATTAATATAACAATGTAACAATATCAGTTATTGATTTTTATTGTATACAATATTTCGGAATGCGAACGTGTAATGCAGACAGATTCGTCAAGGAAGTAGAGTTTTGCATGTTAACAGATCCCTTTAACCTTTTGTTTTTTGAAAAAGTGAAATACATAGACTGTCTCTTTATTAATAAAAAGCAGTTTTAAAAATTACAGTATATTTTCTATCAGTGAAAACGTTAATTTTATAAGTTTGGAGTCACTACGGGCTCCTATGTTTTCTGTGGGCACGTGTAAAAATTTCCATTCTCCTCTCTGGGCGGCCCTGAATGCAAATCGTTCTTTAATCCAGTTCCTTTTTTTTTTGCTTGGGTGACAGTGCAGCAAGCAATAAATCGGGACACAAAAATTACACGCTCATCAGTGCCCGAGTACATAAAACCACTGAAACTAGTAGTAGGTCGCGGGTTTACGCTTGACTGATGTGGAATTTACGGGTTAAGCACATGATTTCTTCACGTGCTTACCACTTAAATAGGGGCTAGTTACCCATTTAATGTCTTCTTGAGAGGCAACCTCTTGGTAGATTACCCATGTGTTATTCTGTCTTCTTCTATCAATCCAATGCAAAAATCACACAACACCCATTCATCCCGTAAACGTTAAATAAAAATCACATTCGAGTATGCAGTTCAAAAGACTCCCTAAAATTGAAGCTTAACGTAAAAACGAAGATTGCTAAATTAAAGTTTAAATTTGATTATTTTTATGGAGAAATAGAAGTCGATACGATTAAAAATAGACATAAAATCGGGATTATAATTACATTAGAATAAACAAGATGAAACAAAATAAATCATACAGTATCATCTGTCATATGAGACTCAGCGGTTCCCAATCTTTTTCATTAGCGTAACCCCGTGGCATTCCCAACTTCCCAAAGAGCAACGCATGCGCAAATCTCTCACTGCCTGTTTGTAGAGTGTCGCCATTTTGAATTTCATTTTGACTCGTTTCTCGGTTCCCTGAGTACTTACAAGTCTGGTTTTTTTTATACGCGCATGATTTGGGAACCTAATACTTTGTGCCAAATTGCAACTTTTGACATGTACTGTACTCCTTCATCCCTCTAAGCACGTAACACATCAGGCAGTACGATTTTATAAACAAGACATAGTCTTGTCAAAATAAAATTAATAAAAATACTGAATAAATAATGAAAAAAATTACCGCTTGTAGAGAAAATCTGGAAAAACTAGCTATGTNTAACACATCAGGCAGTACGATTTTATAAACAAGACATAGTCTTGTCAAAATAAAATTAATAAAAATATTGAATAAATAATGAAAAAAATTACCGCTTGTAGAGAAAATCTGGAGAAACTAGCTATGTCCTTTTCTTTGATAACAATAAAAAATACTTTTTATAAACAAAAAAATACTTTTTCAAACAACACGTGGGGATATTGTTGAGAGATAATAAGAATAACGGTAACACACCCCACCATCAAAAGTCCGTAGCATAATCACTAATCACACATAATGGTATTCCCACTACCATTGACCGACTGCGCAACAACTATTGATCTGTTGCATTGTACAATCGGCAACATAAGTTTTTATTTCTATTTTTGCATTTTGAAATGTATAATAAAGTTTGTGATTGTTGCAAGAAACATTTTTTAACCAATAATTTTTTAATACTATTAATTTGTGATACATAATATATTATTTTTCTGCCATAATAAGTAAAATTTTTTCTGTACCCCTAAACAACCTATCATGTACCCCGAGGGGTACGCGTACCCCGGGTTGGGAATCGCGGATATAAGTTATTTGTACTTGCAAAACTTCAATGAAGAAAACATTTAGTCTCAGAATATAATCTAAATATTACGTTTCTTCACTAGAATCCTGCAGATTTCTGGAATATCGTTAAGAAGTGCAAGTCGGCCATGTTGTTTAAGTACTGATATCATAATATATAGTAATTGTTGACAAAATTAAATTTCAATAAACATATTTCTTGCTTGTTTCTATACACCTGTTAATTTGAATTCTATTTACGAAAGAACTTTGAAAGTGTTTGCAGAATTAACATCAGTTAGAGAGAAGGATTGAGTTTTATAATATATACTGTATATAAAGAAACACTATTGTAAATTATATTTTGAAAACATATTTGATAAATTGTTTAATGTGTTTCATGTAAAAATACATACGGATAAATTAAATTACGAGTGATGTAGAATTAATATTATTTTTCAAGATTTCTTTATCAAAATTTCTTATTCAAATCTTTAAAAATGATTTTGAAATAATTCAAAAATTCTTGAAAAATAAAGTTATTTCCATTATTTATGTCACGTCTCAATTTACGCATTTTGTCACGTAATAATAAAACAAATAAACATTAAAAAAAAGATATTTTTTCGAAAACAGATACAAGTATTTCATTTATTTCCTAAATTCAACAATACATATAATACGCTATACGAGTAGTGTATAGATTAAGGCTGAGCTCCTATTGATTTAATGCAATGTGTAAACAGTCTCATAATTTTCTGCATAATCCTTTTTCTCCTTTATTTGGAACTTGGAAACTTTGGCAATTTTTCTACTTAAGTCGAATAATTCGTTATTTTTTAAACAAAAGCTGTATGATAACACATTATAATAATTTATTTTAAAAAGTAACATCTATCGTAAGAAAACCGTGATATAAAAATGAAACTAAAAATAAAATAATTCTTAATATTAAAATTAAAAAATTGTAAATAAATTGTTGTAAAAGGTTTCATCACATTTAATTTTAAAATAATTCTGTTCTATTTTAAGCATCGTAGTTATCATCTATTGTCTTTTCTGTATTTATGCTTGTGCTTCAATTGATTAAATAATTTTAATTTGTTTTTAATCGAAAAATAACGACGACATTCGAGAAAATCTTGCAATATTATTATAACAAAGACGGTTCTCTTCTTGACCAATAATCAACACGTATTTAGTTATATTCTTAGTAATCGATATTAAAGTTGAATGGTCGCTTTAGTAATTGGTACGTTAATGCGACAGACTAAACTTGGTTGTATTATATTAATGTATGAAATATTATATCTAAGTACTGTAAGTAGCAGTACATGTCGAAGAAATTTATTATGATTTTTATGAGAATTTTATTAAAGTTTATTTAATACTATAAGAATCTTAGCATTATTTTTATGTTATTTATTTATGGTAGAAGAAATATTCTGGCACTATTCTAATTTCTACTGATTATTATGAACAGAAAAAAAGTTATATTGTTATTATTATGTACAAGAAAATACAATTATTTTCCACTTTACATAATTTAATAAATTTTTAATAAAACCAAGAACAACGTAAGAAAAATATAATTTAGAAAATAAAATTTCTATTGAAACTTGCGAAATTTTTGAATATTTGGTTTCAATTTCATCATATGCGAAAAAAAATTTCTCTTCTCAATTGTATAAAATTGTAAAATAAGATTTGTAATTTTATAAATATTTCAATTTTTTTTATTAAGTTAATTAGTCATTCGGGTTGGGAAAAGAGATACATCGATTAATTCGAGTTATCTACACGTGAATTACAACATTTATTAGCAAACTTTTAAACTGACATAATGTAATAGTAGTAAACGGTAGAAAAATATTTGAAAGAAATAAAATTACTCTGCACGGATTTTTTGATATGATAAAAGTATGATTCAATTTCTTATATTGAAAATCTGCTGAGAATCATCTCGAATGACTTCCTAAAATTTGATAAAGAGAGGAAAAGTACTTTCGTTTTTTTTTCTGTGATATTCGAAAATTATTATTGGATTTTCTGCTTTAATACATACATGAAAGACATTTTTGCTCGTCAAATTGCTGAAAATTGAATGGCTAACAGACATTAGAATTATTAAGAGATAATAAGCAGTGTTTAATTTTAGATTACGTTTTATAAGTCTAAAATCGTAGATCGATAACAAATTAAAAAATAGTCAAGAAATATTTTAGAAAACATTTAGTATAAATCTGAAGTAAGGAAAATTATAAAGTGTATTGAAAAGATAATTGGCAATAAAAAAATATGAATACTTTGAAACATCGTTTCCTTAAATTAAAGTTTTTAAATTAATTATCAGAAAAGCCAGATGATGGAAAAATAAATAAAGCACGCATATAAGTTAAAAAATAATTTATTCACAAGTGCTTTCATTTTCTACAATTAATAGTCAAGTGAATTCTATAATTCGACAAGATAATTTTTATGAACATATTTAAAGTTTTATAGTTGAACTAAATACATTATACATATATATTTACCTACAGTTTTATTAAATATATAATATGATCACAATAAATAATAACTGAAGCTACGAATTTTGGCACATGGCATTCGAGCAGCAGTTAAGTCTGCTATGAATTGTTGTTGCTTACTGCAATTGCTTATTTTTCAATTCGAATAATTTCACTTTATCTATGCATAAAAATATTTTAAACACAAAATATTTAGATTATTTTAAAAATTTTAAATTGAAGTAATCAAAAATATATTATAATAATTAATTTTTAAAATAACCTTAATAATTTAATGTATGGTAATAAGTCGATTTGCTGTATTTATGTAGAAGTTACAAAATAATTGACCTTAATTTAAGTTTTAACGAAAAATGCAGAAAAAAAATCAATAATTTCAAATATGACATTTTATTTATATTTACTGTAATGACTATCTGATAAAATATTCATTTATTGCTCTCAAATTATCAATTTTCGTAAAAAAATCTTAGAACTTAGCACATAAAATAAAAGTTCTGCTCATGTAATTTACATAGCGAAAGTTTTGATCATTAAAACTATTTATAAAATATAAATTTTTGAAATGTTCTGCTTATAAAATCAAATCAATTTTTTTTAAATACAAAATGAATATATTAATATTTTATTATATCGTAAAGCTACATTTATATGAAAATAACGTGAAATTATTTGAATTGAAGTTAAATATAATTTGGTGAAGATATAGATCTATTAATTAATATGTAAATAAAAAAATAGTTTATACTATATGCAGTTATAATATTGATAAGTGCATAAATATGCTAACCAAAAAGAAATCTAAAGTGTAATGAAATGTGTAATAATTAAAGATATATCACTACTATTTTTACAAGAAAATTATAAGTTAATATAATTATGTAATGAGAATGCTGGAAATATAATCTAATATACAGCCTATAATTATCCAAAAGAATTAATATTTTCTCAATAAAATACATGATACTTGATTATAATATTATTTAGTAACGTCAATGCATTTCAATATCATTACATTTACATAATAAATAATGTAATTTTTACAGTGTTAAAATATATACAGTAATTATATTTCTAACAATGTTAATATAGAATTAATAATAAACAACAATACCAAAATAAGATTTTACATAAGGACAATCCTTTTTAAATCTGATATTTGATTAACAACATATGAAAATAGAGTACTAATAATAGTTTTAGTTCAGTACAAATAGTTTTATTCAATGTACATTTTTAATATTACTGTATAGGCTGTTATTTATCAGATTTTATATCAATAATTGAATATAGTAATTTTTTATTTTTGATATTAGATTTAATAAAGCTCTTTCAAATAATTTATATCAAAACAATTCGACTTAAATCACTTTACGTCAAATTATTGCTGAGATAGTTGCTTATAGCCATGCTACAGAATATTAATATTCATACTTAACTCTTAATTCTAATTATATAATACTACATAAAATAATTTTTAATTTAGTATAATGTAAAATTTTGATCAAAATTACCGTAATTAATCCAAAAATATATTAAGATATTTAATAGTGCTATTAAGTATCGACGATTTCCTTTCTAGAAATAAATATAGGCTAAATCTAAATATTGATTTTGCAATACAACTAACTTGTATTATATAAGTAAAATCATAGTAACATTTAGGCAGTGAAATCATATAAGTTATAACTTATATGATCTATATAAGTGATAAATTATAAAATTTAACTTATAACATAGATTTTTATAACTATTTATGCCTACTTTTAATGCCTAGTTCTAGCTGTAAATACAGTATAGGCAATCGATGGACTAACAGACTTATACATTATTAGATATAATAACATTGTAGAATAATAATAATAATAAAGTATTTAAAAATTTAATAATTTCAAGATGAATAAAGTATATTAGAATTTTAAAATTTTATAAAATCCTATTTTTTATGAATTATTTTGTAAATATAATAATAATAAATTATTAAGGTAATTCAAAGTAAAGTTCTTCGTATTTAAATTGAAAATGAAAAGAAAAAAAAAATATTTTTAATATATTTGAGATGTTTATGTTTAAGAATCAAACAAACAAAAAAAATTAAATAAATAAATTAAGATAATGAGAATTTTAATTAAGAATTAGAATATTAAATTAATTAGATTCTAAATTTAACGCTAATTAAAATAAATTATTATTTTAATTTAATAAAAATTAATTTTATTATATTTAGAAAATTTAATCAATTTTAAAATATTTAAATGCGAGTGAATATTATTATACAGATTATTATTAATTTTACACGGTATCTTAACACGTTGCTATTAATTTGCTTAATAATAAAGAGTTTAATCTGTTTTAATAAGATATTTTACTATTTATTCAAAACAGTTTCATTGCCATTTATAACCAGATAAAAATATTTACGTTCAGTAAATTATAAAATACTGAAATTTAGATATCAGCTATTTATAATCATTTGAAATAATGGTAAATAATGAGCTAAAATTATTTTATCTAATTTTTTTTTTGTGCTGTTCACCTGAATTTGATATGAGTTTGTTAATGATCGGATGAGCGCAAAATGAATATTTCATGCGTCCTAACAGTGCTTTATTTTCATTATCTCGAAACATGTTACGTATCTCTCATCGTGACTAATCTAATAATTATTTTATATCCGAATAAAACTTTAAATTATCGCATATAAAGGTGAATATTAAGTTGTTTTCGACTTTTTGATATAAATATAAAAACAATAAAGTATTTAAAACTGAGGTTCTAGAAAATGGAACAGTGGCTTAATGATTTAATAGAGATGAGTGCAGAACATTGTAATGTTCCTTAATTAAAGCTCATGAAATTGGGCTTTCATTGTTGAATCAATAAGCTTGGAATTAATTTATGATTTGCTATCAACTAACTGAGAAAAGCTCAGAAATTTCTACATAAATTGTCTTTTGCCTTAAGCAATTTAGGTTTGAAAAATGTTCTTAACTTAAAAATATCTTTGTAAATAGTTAATTATTTAGATATTTTTTACATATATATTTTTAGAAAGCTTATTTTAAATATTTTATTTCATTTCATTTCGTATCTTCTAATATAATTTTTCATTAATATATTATTTACACTACATATTTTTAAATATGTTATAATTTTCAAAATAATATATTATTTCTTATAAAAGGCGAGAGTAAAAAATTATAAGCGAATGAGATAATTATTTTTGAACTTATTAATCATTCACTGTTCATTTTAATATATTATTATTACCGAAAGGAATGGTTATTGCTTATTAAATAGATAAATATTTCTGATTTATATTAAATGTGCTAAAATTATTACACAAGTGAATGGAATTTAAAAAAAAATCTAAATATGTAACATTGATTCGGCTTTATGTATAACACAGACCTTACTTTGATGAGCGATTTAAAGGATTTTTTCCGACATGAAAATTAAAATGAATTAGTGAATTAATTATTTTATATCATAAAATTATTTTAAAATAAAGCAGACTTAAGGATTTTTATAATGAAAATTAATAAAATATTATATTTTCCATTGCTTTTAAATGACAAGATTATTTATTATTCATAAAAATTATAATATGCTTAATTTAAAATGTTGAGAAGTTGTTTTTAAAGTTCGTTGTTTATAATTAATGAAATAAAGTTTAAAACTTTTATGTTTAACGCTATGAAACAATAAGAATTACTAAAAAAACAAAAAGTTATTTTTAAGAATTATATTTTAAAGCTATTTTTTAATTATTATTGTTCTAAAGTGAGCTATTTTCTTTAAAAACGAAAGTGCTGTTTACTGTAAGTTTTCCTGTAAATAACAGTATAACAATTTTAAAACAATATTATAATCTATAAATATTTAATCGGTGCTATCTTTCACTTACTGAATCTTCAGTTTCTTTTGTAACATCAAATTTAAGTTGTGCTTCTGAATTGCAAGAAAATCAAGAAGTATGTAACAATAGCACTAAATACCTAAACCCAAGATAATTAATTATCATTAGTAATTATTTTATTTATTATGAAAATGATGAAAAATAATAATTCACTTACGCTCAATACGACTCCTTTAGTTATAACGAAGAAATCCAGACATGTTACTCCTATAGTTGGGCCATTCAGTCTTTCCAAGAATAATGTAATCTATAAATAATTAATTATCCTATTAAATGCTATTTTAACAATAAATATTAGGATTAAACACGTTAAAAATAACTCTCGTTCTAACAGATAATCTCATTGACAAAATAATTATATTCGATTAAAGTAAAAGACTTTTCCAAATACACAATAATTGTTAATTATTAATAATGTAAACGATTACTGTAAATTTTACCTTGACTCTTTCATGCAAAGGAAGTTCGGGTAGAGATAATCCATGCAAAATCTCATAGGGACGGTGAGCCTAGTAAAAATTTTCAATTAGACAAAATATTAATTAACAAACATTATTCGAGTGATACTTACTGCAGAAGATACGCCAGCAGCATTCAAAGAAGTTAACAAAAGTGTCATTACCAAGAGAACAGTGTGGATACCTAAGAGTACTCGAGAATCAGTCGATTGTTCGGGCGAGGTAAATTGGTAAAGAGAGATGCAGGAGCCAGGAATAAGGATCAGATACGTGGTAAAGATGTACCACTGGCAAAACTTATTGATAACTTTGACCATTCTACAACCTATGAAATGCTTCACTTGCATGGGTTCAAACGTGCTATCTGCCGGTTTGTTAGCTCGTTGTAATTCGTAGAGATAATGCAACTGATTAGTAATTTCTTCGTATCTTCTGGATAGACCTTTGCAAATTACGATAAAAAAAATGGCAGAAGACAGCCAAGAAGTGTAAGCGAAGTAGAGAGCGATTATCATTAACACGCAGAGAAAGATATGCCAAATACTGTCGGGATAGAATCTTAGAGTACGCATATAATATATATAGCTTTCTGTAATCATAACTCCCACAATGACAAAAGGAAAAACGAAGTAGCAAGTGATTTTTTCGTAACGGGCGATCTTCTTTTCGGTTCTCTGCGGATTTTCGACACCAAATTTACTGAGCCTGGTTATGTCCCAAAACGCCCGATATGGCGTTAGTAATTTTACTCTGGGACCAACGAGATTGAAGACCGTTGTTGAGAGAGCTGCATGCAGATACGATTGAGATACGATAGTGTAAGATTGAAGCCAACTCTCTTCGCCACTCAATTCGGGTGGAAGATTCATCATTCTGTAAAACCATTCGATAAAAGCGATCCATAGAATTACCATAACTGTCCTTTCGTAGATTCTCTCGAATTTTTCGTTATATCTGGTTCCAGGTTTGCTATCTATTTCATGAATTGCACCACTAACTCCAAACCATTTAGCCAACTTCATAATTGGGCGGAAAAGACAGTTTAAACAATGAATGCATCCCGGTCCTATACATACCGCAGCATCTTCCATCTCCCTGTTGGGATCATAAATACTTTTTCCAAAAATCTTTATGTCGATCATGTTTAGTGACTGTCTTCTCGCCCGATCTTCTAGTTACGATAAGATTGCAGTCTTCGATACAGGAATCGTGGTTATGTAAACATTGGTTATTGGTTGGATGGGATGTTCTACAAATATGACGACCGTCATCAGCTCTGACGTCATTCATATTGCTTTCTAAGATATTTTTTAAAACACCTTCTGTAATTATATAACTTTTGAGATTCAAAATATAAAATAAAAATATAATACTATAATTACATTTCTAATTTACTTAAAATAAACGTATCCATAATAAATTTACAAAGTTTTAGATTGAACTTTTTGATTTAACTCCGTAATATTTCAAGCTAAAAGCGAATCCCATTATAATATTTAATTATATTTTTAAAAATTAACTTAATACTTTGATTTACTAAATAATACTTTCATATATGGATTATTTATCTGATCGATTTATTTGTGTTTCGAGATGATCGATTTTTCCTGTATCGAGCAGTATCCATGGTGACTCTATTCTAAATTTTTGTCTTTAAAAATGTAATTTGATAGAATAAAAATAAAGAAAATAATGATATATTTATTTTTATGTATACAAAAAATTATTTTTAATACTAATTTAATAAATATTTTTAAAAACTTCATAAAAATGTTTAATATAAGATTATTTCTTACTAATTAAATGCCAAATGAAAAGTAAGTATTTAAAATAATATTATATTTTTAAACAAATAAAACTTAATTAACTAATTATAAAATAAAAAGTATTGCATAATTCAATATTTTCATTCGAATCATTTAATTACGCCATGAATTTTTAACAATTAATAATTTAATAACCGAATTTTATTCGTGGAAATAATCAAAAATTCGACAAAAATCAATGTAAGATTTAAATATAAAGTTTCAAAATAAGTTAATACGATATTTAAGTATGATTTACCGAAATATATATGGATTTTTGTACGTAGAGAAACTAAACCTTGCAGCATCATCAATTTTTCTTTGGATGCCAGAGTCCATTTGTAAAAACATAAAGTCTAATATATCAAATACACTTTATATCTAGAAAAATCATCATATTTATCTGAATAAAAAAAACAAGAGAGATTTATAAAGCGAAAATAAACCAAAAGATAATTTATTCTCTTCTTAAACAATGTTCTTTATCAGATGTAACGATTCGCACTATCTTTTAAGCTTGGTATCACTTTTGTTCTTTATTAAAGAGATACGTAAAACATTCTTTATAACTAGAATTATCTAGAATTATTAGAAAAATCGAAATAACGAAAGTATAATGAAATTAGCAGTAATGTAATGTAATAGTAAAAAAATAATTTTCTATAACCATAGTAAATTTATTATCAGAAGATGGATCAAATTACTTGGCGTTTCTTCCGTGATTCCGACAAAAACACAGGAAAATAAAACAATTTTTTAACAGAAAAAGATCAATGAAATGTTTTGTCTTATATAAAATATGATTTAATATATGAAAGTAATATTTTGAATTGATAAAAAAGAAAAAAATAATAAAAATAAAATATGAATTATTTTTAATGATTGTTAACTTTTGAATTAAATTTGCTTAAAGCAAATTTAATTCATCTTAACTAAAAATTTGCTAATTTATCTTTTAACAGAATCATTGAACTTAATATATATTTTATTATTATTACTTTGAAATTTTTTATATATTCAAAGTATTGGACAAAATATTCAGAACATAAAGATAAATTTAATATTGTAAGACAAATGATAAAAACTGATTAACAAAATAATCATTTTCTTTTTAGTTAATAATTTGAACGTTTTTATTTGAACATATATTTTAAAAATTACTTATGTAAAATGTTTAAAACGCTATATTAAATATTATGTACAGTACAGTGTGTTCCGTAAGTCACACACCGCAGGCAAAATAGCTGTTCAAATAATATGTTCGATGTAATTGCCGTCCTGTTGCACATAGAAATCATTTCACACATCTTACAAGATGTCGGGGATCACGGCCTGACACGCATGTGTAATTCTGAACTTGAAATGAGTGACGTGTTCGTTTAATAAATGAAATTTGTGTTCGCTCTGTGTGTTTGAGAGTTGAATTCTTATCATTGAAAAAAATTCATGGTGCTATCAAAACGTCTACTAATATAAACTTTAATTTGAAAATAAAATATGACGAGCAATTATTTATTGTGACGATGTCACAATGCCGGGCTGCAATTTTTAATCATATTTTTAATTTATTTAATTTGAAATATATGTTCTCCACCTCAAATTATTAGTAGTGTCGTGCCCCTGTACATCATATTTTTCTTTTAACAATAGAGTCGTACCGGTTATGTATCTAACACCTTTAAGGGGAAAGGTTTGAATTGAAATAACGTGACTTCTGGTTTTCAAAGTTAATATATAGTTAATAGGAACCTGCTGCCTCTAAGCTTTCCATATCTGGTCTCGACTTTCATCTATTATCTATTTTCATTCTCGAGATTAAGGAAGGACAGACAGTGGGAATTTATAGGTCTGCAATTTTTTTCAAATTGTAGCAAAAATGTAGGTATCTTCTTGTATATACTAAAGGTACTAAAGATATATGTATATACTAAAGGTATCCCTTGACTAACGCGGTTAATTAATCCGACTTTACTGCGAATATCAAAAGCGCGTTTAAAGTAAAGTTGTAAAATTTATCTTAAGTTTAATTAAAAAGAGCAAGAAAAAAAAATAATAAAAATTTTATACAAAATTAAAATTTTATTTGATGAATTCCTACAAGAGAGATATGCGTACAATACTTTAATAAAATATAAGTTTAACATTAACACTCGAGAACACTTGATTTGGTTTATGTTTCAATGCTATGCTTATTATGTGCAATCGATACATGGCATATGACATTACATAAACTACACACACTTCCACTAAATCGCGATAATTTAGGAATAGCCAAGAAATAAAACGAATTCAGAAGGCTTTTTAATTGTAACAGAATTATCGATATAATTTTTTCGGCCCCCAAAAAGTAATCGTAATATCCCGTTGGCAGAGGATTATTTTTAAAAAAGATACAAATAAATAATCAAAAAATAGTCTAGCAATGTTTTATCCGGGTCATATATTCGGACACACTACAATATATATATTTATATGGGACACATACTGTATATTCATGATCAGTAACGATCGGAACACCTGGCGTAAACTTAACACAAAATTTTACTTTGCTCAGATATACTCTTGAATGATCTCGTTTTCTCACTTCAGGCATTTGGTTCGATACGCACACTGTAAATTTAATAGTAAGTAATCCCGAAATAATTTAATAATACATAACCACCCGTGATTTTATACCGCGGAGACTTCTAGATTCAACAGCGATAGTTTCATTTTGTTAATAGAATTATATCTTAATCTGATATTTTTAAAATTAGGATTAACTAAATTTTATTGCTTACGTAACAATTAGACGATTTGTCACTTTATAGAATGACCAATTACACGCAATCAGTTATATCGCATGTAAAATTACGTGTGATTTTAAAGCCATAAATTTATATATTTACATAATATATCTTCGCAATATAAAGGACGAAGCACCATTTCAATTAAACATTCTAACAATATTAAATTGTTTATATATCATATTAGACCTAAAAAACTACATAACTATTTACATAGATTCTACAGCTTTTTTTATAGTTCTTTTATATAGACGTTAAATAAGTATGAATATTGGAAATGATAATTAGCATGAAAAACTTAAATGGATAAAAACTATATATACATTAAGGGATTATATTATCAATATCTATATTTTATGTGTATTTTGCGTGCTTTAACACATTTTTCTACATTACTTCCTGTAACCAATTATATTGTTTTGACAATTTTTATCTTTAAAATGTGCGTGATCAAACTCAACATTATAATGCGTGTCTAACGTAAGAAAAACTGATTATGTAGACCTATAAAAAATTGTTACATCGATTTGACAGATTAAGGTTTCAGAATTATTATAATTTATTGAAGTTATTTTTTGCGATTAAGCTATTATTAAGCTAAATATAATTTAAATTTTATTTAAATTAATGGTTAGGTGTAGACTATTTAAAAAATGCAACTAAGAAAGTATCATTTTATTAATTAAAGGAATATTTAATTCTCTTATTTTTTGTGTTGCTAAGACACATCATTACATTTATGAAACATACGAACATTACATGGATGTAAATATAACATACATTTATAAAATAATGGACATTATTGTTATATAAATATTGTAATTTGTGTTGATACTAAAACAAAGATTTTTATTCCGTTTCTTAATGAAGAGGAATAATAATATTCTACATATGCAGTATATAATTTATTCAATTCATTGCAACTATTTTTTTCTAATATTTAATAAATTTTAATAGGAAATTTGTATTATATTTGAAAATATTCAGAAGAAAAACTGCAAACTTTTCAAAGAAGATTAATTTTTCTGATTAAAAAATGACAAGAAACAAAATTTTATGTCTGCAATTGATTTCTGTTGTCGCAATATTTATGGGTTAAATATTTATGTTCTACCGTCGATTGAATGAAATATTTAAATATTTCTACTTTAAACAAAGAAAAGTTTAAAAGTTTTAACAACAAAGTTTATAGATTTAAGTTCTAATAACTTGATAGAATATAAATCAATTATAAACTTGTAAATTTTATCACTTATATTGATCTAATATCAGCTCTATTTATTATATTAATCTTAATATATGATAGTCAATTCAGATAATGTACAGATTTAAATTAGTTCAAATGTAAACTTCACTGATTACAAGCAAGAAAGGTTAGAATAATTTAAATTCTTAACTATCACAATTATCTTAACTAATAAAATTATTAGTTAAGATAATTGTGAATGTAGAAAATTTTCAGAAAGTAAGGAAAATATTTTTTATTTGACCTTTTAAAGGATTTAAATAAATATTTAAAAGAAAAAAAATTCATAGAAGAAACTAAAATTTCTTTACTTTTTGTCACGTCCAATTACCAGAAACAATAGTCTTCCATTACAGAGACGACCTTTTTTTAGAGATTATCGATATTTTTTGCTAATAGATCAAATAATTAATTTGGAAATTATTATTTGTTATAAGAGAAATAAATAGAATTATTTTAAATAAATTATAGGAATTTAAGCAACT